AACCCTTTAATGAAAAATGAACCTAGCCTAGACAAGAGGAAGTGTGTTGAAGACATAACTAAATGGATAAGTTTGGCTTGACTCTGAAAAAAGATCAAGTTTAAGATGAGGTAGTTCAACATAAACAACCGTGGAATTAGTGCTTATTTCTATCTCAAAAATCAAGAAGCAACTCAATACTTCAATGGAATAGCTTAAAATAGAAGATGGATGCCAAAGTTGGGAAATAAGAAAGAAACTCTCTAAATTTTATCAAATAAGAAGTAAACCAAAAGAAGACACAACTTGACAGGACAGAAATCAGGGAAGCCAAAGCAAACACCATAGTAAAGTAAGACAGCCATGAATGCATATCTTTTTGCAGAATATCATATTGCAAAAGGCTAACTGTGGCAATGTCTAGTAGCAATGATCAAAATATTTATCCCGTTGGTATCACATTATGAATAGACCATAACACAACATGAGTGCATAACAATAGATTGGGGTAGACAAACTGTATTATTACTAAATAGAACAAAGCAACAAAAGACAGGATGTGAATAACGTATTATGGAATTGGCATTCTATTGTAATTTAAAGGAATTCAGGGACTTTTCCATTCGTCAATTGAAATTGATTATGTTATTATGGTTGAATTTAGAATTGATTAGCATTCATCTGTTCATTGAACTTCAGATCAAACAATTATACAAAAATATTTTAAATAGAAATCCACATTTTCAAGTGAAGGACAAAATCAGAAAAATATATTGCTTTTATGTTCAATATATGGCCCCGCCACTGCCCATCGTGGATCCATTATAGGAAAATTATTTTGAATAGCTTATTTCTTTGATAATCCAGAAACTTAACCTTGAATGGGAACAACTTGTTCCTACGAAACCTGCAAGCGTATGGGATCGTTGACAAGTAATAGAATTGATGAGTTAAGAGTTATCGTCCCACTGGAAATAAATTTAATTCAAATTTACTAGTTATGTATGGAATTCAAATTGTGTAAAGGAAATAAATATTTTGATTTGATTTTATGCTAAGTTATCTAAGAAAGCGGCAAAAGTGTTTTGTATCAAATTATGAATGATAGTATTGGATTTCGAATTTGCATATTGCTATCTATTTCAATTCTTAATTTGCAATCTAATTCTGTTCATGTGTTCTTGACAATCGATAAAATTATGATATATAATTTTCTTTTCTAAGACAAATTAAATCTATCATAAACACGGCCCGAATATATTCCTAACCTGAATTCGAATTATTAGAATACATTAAAGTTTAGATTATCTATATGATTGCACACGTGATAAATATTATTCATAATATCTATTACACATATATTAATTTTGACGCGTTCTAAACTTACTGTGAGTCTCCCAATACTACAACAAATAACCAATTATCTAATTAGTGGCCAATCAATCATACAATGGGTATGCAAAATTAATCAAGAAACACAATAAATAAATTAAACTACTAGTCATGAATTTAAAAAAATAAACAATAGGGTTCATCTTAATCCAATATAAAAACGAATCTAGCCTAGAATGTTAATATATAAATTACAAGAAGAATAATAGAAAAATATCACCCGGATCATGAAATAATTCAAAGATGTTGATCTTCAAGTCCAATGTTAAATTCTTCAAAATTTTGATATAATTGATCTTCAATTCCTCGCTAGAGTTTAATCTTCTCTCTCAAAATATAGTAACTGATTCCTTGTTCTTGATAAATTTGATGAAACTATTGTGTGTGAAGAGGCAAGAGAAGTTTTTCAATATGTAGCATTCATTTTCTATTTATAAGAGCTAGAAAATAGGGCAAAAACGCATCCAATTTGGGTTTCAAAAGAGTTTAAATCGCAAAAGAAAACTGTTGATTCATTTGTGAAAATGACACGCGCTCACACACTGGCATAACTACTGTGCGCGCATCGTAGAGCCAAATGGCTCTTGGTTGGGGAAAATAGGATACCCCGTGCGCGAGCAGGTTCGCTTCGATTCGTCCCTGAATAGCTTTCTGTATTTTGGTTATAACTTTTTCTGAAGTTATTTGATTAAGGTGATTCAAAATACATTGAAAATTTAATTCAATGGACTACAATCCTCATAAAGATAAAAAAAAAAAAATAATAATAATAATAATAATAATAATAATAAATTCTAATTCGAACGTTTGCTACCCGAAAAATAGGTCTCAAGTTGAAACTAAAAATTCAAAGCATAACTTATTCGGTTAGAAATTGATTTGTGAAAATAATTCCATTATATTTCACTCTTTTGACCTCCGATTGCATTCAATTGATTCTATATGATCTTCAATCATCGTTTTTTGTTCTGAATCAAATATTTAATTTTTACACTTTGTCCCCAAACTTTGTATTTCCTTCATTTTCGCACATTTTTTTGTTCCTTTCTTTCAAATCTACCAATTTGCATTGAGTTCAACTTAACAAACATAATTAACACAAAATTAATCTATAACTCATCCAAATCACTAACGAATACTCTAATTTGATGGTCTAGATAAGTGTACAAAATACACTTATCAAACACTTCCAAACTTGAACATGTCTTTGTCCCCAAACAAAATTGTAACATAACTTAACCAAAAAATTTAAACACACATGGTTAGATAATTTGCTTTTTGCCTCAAGATTGGAATATATGTATTAAAACTATGAACTGCTGCAAAATCACAATGTTAAAATTAATTTTTACTTATTCAATGCAAAAAAGACGCATGATTGTGTGTGTGAAAATTCATATCAAGTATCATAAATTCATGAAGTGATTTAAATTTCAACCCTCAATAGTCAAATTTGTCATTTCTCCTCTCGTGAGTTTCACACCACCAAACTTATTATTTTCACTCTTTTCCCATGATGCGAGCCAAAGTTTAATTTATATATTATTTCTCACACTCTCCAGTTTGGTTAGATCTTACTAATTGCAGTTCAACACATCAATAAATGCAGATTCTTCTTATTTTTTATTGCTTCAACCTCTAAGAATCAAAAAAAGTTAATAATCCATTGTCAAATGTTTTAATTCTCTCAAATAAGTATTTGGGGTTTAATCAAAGCATGTAATAATATTTTTTTTCTTCTTTTTTGTCACCTCATGTGCGGACTTTTCTCTATTAAGTTTTCTAAATGACCCTTGTAGCGAGTTTTTGGCCAATAACTCCCAAGTCAGGTGACTATAGGGTATCAAGTTTTAGATGTCACTGCAAACTTAATCACTCGAGTCATAAGGACTACGATCAGAAGTTTCACAATAAGACAATATTCTCTCTTTTTCATGCAATGATTAGTGCAATACCCCTTATTAAATACTTATTCTAAAAAATTAACATAACTTAAGATTTTCACCTATTTTTTATTTTATTGGCCTTAGACAATTCACAGAAAATTTAACATAAATGGAATTCATATCTATCTCAGTATCTCCCTACAACTGCTCAATCACCTCCAAACTATCCTAAAATTGGTTTAAGAATGTATAATTTAATGATTATTAGGATTTAGCATCTATATTCTACTAATAAAATTCTTTTTTATACCTATTCATATTTTGAATCAAATATTTATTCACGATGTAAAACATAAATCTTGTGCGCAAAAATGTTAAGTTTCACATGAATAAGCATAAATCAACCTTAACGCATAACCTTTTCACAATTTATAATCTAATACATGATTTCAAATATATGCATCATGGTAGGCAAAATTATATAACTCACACAAGCACACAAAAGCAAAAAATAAGTTGAAAATAGATTTCTTTCTTACTTTTTTTTTTTTTTTGCACTCGATCAAGCGCACAAACCAATAAAAACTCAATATTTTTCCACCCCCAAACTTATAATAGACATTGTCCGCAATGTCTAAAAATATAACAAACAATATATAAAAATTAAGGGCTAAGAAAAAACCAAGTGCTCCCTTGGAATAAATCTGCAGGTAGTGAATGGACTAGCATGAAGAGTGCTAGCTTACTTCCTTTGTCTTTTCCCTTGTCCAGTGTATTCAAGTGTATGTTCCTTCAAAATAGTAAAAATCAATCATAACATAAAACAGTTTAAATTCTGATACCAATTTTTCGAAGCTTGGGTGCGGAGTATAAAGATTTAAATTATTCATGACAATAGATTCCAATTAGCATACAAGTATTAAATAAATGTAAGATCTTTGCAAAGCTAAACCTTCTTACTGATGAGTTGGGGTTGCTTTTTTACGCTTCTGCCCTATATAATCTTTCTTCCTCACTATGGTGGATTGTCTGGATTTGTTTCCCTCGAGGCCTCCTGCCTAATGGTACTCCATTATCTATAATCCATATAGATCCGTACATAAAGATTGTATACAAATGTAGAAACTGAAAAGCATGGAATTTTATTAAAGAAGGTTTAAGAGCAAAAGCTGTCTTAAACTTTATTTAAATACAAATATTTAGATCCAGTATGGATCCACTGTCTTTGAGGGTTTAGCCTCGAAACGAGTACATTAAATTTTTAAAGATAAGGAAGAAATGTTTTCTCTAAAAATTTCTCCTCCCATTCTCCTTTGAGTATGCATCCTTTTATAGATGAATTTTGAGATTCCTTTTTCATCTCTGTCCTCCATTTGTCATCTATCCACAGTTTTTAGTGATAAAGGGATTTAGAAAAATTTATCTTCTTTTCTTTTTAAAAGTAGATACTTTTCTTTTGTCACGTCTTCTTTTAAAAAGCAGATTCCTCTTGCTGGCCATCTTTACTTTTTATTCTGATTGGTTTGTATGGCTTTCTATGGTGCTTCCACTAGACTCTGTCTCTTCTTTTGATAAATCCTTATCTTCTTTTGTCTCGTACCATTGGCAAAAGTGATCTCTTCTAATGCTCTATTTTAATGCTTTACACAATTCTCCCTTGTAATTTGAAGGGACATTTGGCAAATTATAGAATTTTTTCTCAAAACTATACAAAGTTTTGATTCCTTCCATTTTGATCACTGATCATGTCTTACTTGTCACCAAGATGGTACTTGATGAGAAATTCACCTTGATTTTTGACTCATTATTGAAGGCTCTTAAACCAGTTAAGAGTCTTTGATATGAAAGACTTCTCCATTCGTCGAGAGTTTGTTCACTTACACATTCAATCTTTGTTGTAACTGGTTTGTTCAAAGTGATCTGTGGTAATGTCTTGATTTGGATATGATGATATCCTTTGATCAAAAGTCCTTCACTATTCCATAACGGAATTGTACTGTTTATCTTTAGAACCATATGAAGTTCTTGGTCTTTAATAACATACTTCTTGAAATCCTTCAGGGCATTTAATAATTTGTCATCAATTAATTTGATTTCTTCCATTTTCTCACCGAGGAGTATCATTTTGATTAAACCACAATGAAAAGCTGTTTGTATTATTGTTCGTTCAGATCCTTCACAAAAGATGAACTGTTCAAATTGTTTTTCAATTGTCCCAAAATATGTTTTATTTGGATCAGAATCTCCAACTGTTTTGGCTTCTTCTTCACACTGAAGGAAGTTCTGTAAAGTAATTCCACTAAAAAGTGGTTCTTCTTGTGATTTTGGAATTTTTCCAATAGTTTTAAATCTGTTTGGAAGATTATCTGTCTCAACACTAGATTGAATCATATCTTTGAAAGATATCATTCTCAATCTCTGATTGGGATTTGGAGGTCTGAAGAGTTGGGCTGGCAATCTGGGCCTAGCTCTTGGGTTACTGTCTTCGTAATATTTGGGTCTGAGCTGGATATTATCATTAAGATGGTTATATGAAGAAGGTGTAACTCCTTTGGCTTCATAAAATTGGTTAAAAGCTTGTTGGGCTTCAAGAAAAGTTTTAAAACTTTTGTGTTTGTAGGGCTTGTTTTTTACAAGTGATTCAACTTGTTTCCATTGTGAATAAAAGCCCATGTCTGGACCTTTAAAGATTACATAAAATTTTGTACTTGCAGGCAAATTGTTAACACCTACCAGTGATGAATTTTCAATTCTAACAATTGGAATATTTTTCTCTTGGGCTTCAATGCCTTTGAGTTTCTTTGGGCTTTGAATACCTCCTTGCTCTTGCAAGCATTTTTCGTACCATGATTACGGGTTTGGATTACCCTGATGTTCTTTCGAACACTGAGTTTTCAAATTCTCGTCTGTATTATTTTCAATAGTCTTGCTATTGTCAATATTATCTTTTGGGATNGCTCTTGAGAGCACAGAGTTTGACTATGCTCTTCTGTATTATTTCCAGTAGTATTACTACTTTCAATATTGAGTGTCTTCCTCAGGACTGTATTTTTCTTTCCAATAGTCTTGCTACTTTCAATTCCTTCTATTTGGGGTTGTTTTTCAGAGGTTTCATCCTCCTCCATTTTTTTCAGAAGTTGATGCTAATTTTTGTTTGAGAAGTCTAGCCAACTTCTTTTTCAAAATTTGCAACTTTTGTTGTCTTGTTGAGATCTCCATTTCTTCAATTTTGATCTGTATTTCAAGGTCATCAATCTGATCTTCAATTGTATTCATTTTTACCTGCTAAATAGTTGTCTTTACCTTTTATGATTTGTATTTCAAAATCATAATGGCTAAACCACATTTGCCATCTCACAAGTCTTCCTTGCTTGTAGTCTGGATGTACCGGTGTCTTAAAAATGAATGACATGTACTTGAATCAGTGCTAACAAGAAATTTATCAGAAATGATATATAGTCTAAATTTTGTAATAGCTTTTTTCATAGCTAAAATTTCTTTTTCATTTATATAATAATTCTTTTCTACTCCCTGAAAAGTTCCTGAAGTATAAGAACATAATTTTTCATTTTGATCTTGTTGATCAAAAGCTTTTAAAACTGCTCCCCGATGTTCATGGGATGCATCAGTTTCAATAATCATTTTATCTCCAGATTTTGGATGATATAATGCGGGTAATGTTTTAACTTTAGTTTTTATTTTCTAAACATAAATATTATCTTCTTTAGTCGAAATCCATTTAAAATCTTTTTTGAGTTTCTTTTGAAGATGTGCTCTCATTTTTGCTCATTCTTTAATAAAAAATATTCAGCATAAGTGAGACATCCAAAAAATTTCACCAATTGTTTTTTATCTTGAATCTCATTTGGAAAATCTTGAATATGAGTTAAAACATGTGGTTTTCGGGTTTTATAGCCATAAGCTATATCTAATCCTAAAAATCCAATTTTTTCTTTAAATAATTGTGCCTTCTTTTCAGATAACACAATTCCTTCCTCTTTTGTTTTTCTCAAGACAGAGATTACATGTTCTTCGTGCTCTTCTTCTATTTCAGAAAACACAAAAAATCATCAATGTAAACACAACAGTATTTATTATATTCTTTAAGGATATTATCCATATATATTTGGAAAATTCCTGGTGCTTGCTTTAATCCAAATGGAACAACTTTCCATTGGTAATGTCCTTGTAGACAACTAAAAGCTGTAAGATGTTTGCTTTCTTGGTCAAGTATCACTTGCCAAAAACCAATTTACAATCAAATGATGAAAAGATTTTCTTCCCTTTTACTAATTGCAAAAGACTTTGCATATTTGGAATTAAATATCCATCATCTTTAGTGATTTTTTTTTAATTGAGAATAGTCAACCACCATTCTAGCTTTTCCACGTCTTTTTTCTGCTTCTTTTCTTACCATAAAAGCTGGTGAAGAAAATTGCGATATACTTGGTTCAATTACTTTTATCTCAAGTAATTCTTTTATCTGCTTAGAAAATTCTTCTCTATCTTTAGGATTACAAGCCATAGTTTTAGCTCTAACTATAGAAGTTTTGAATTCTTCAAGTAATTCGATATTTGCTGTCATTCTTCCTTTGTTCTTTTGAGGATCCAAAGGATTTTCTGAACAACAATTTTTTAATAAATTTAAAATTTTTTCTCTTTTGAGAATTTATTTTAAATTGTTGTTGCTCCTCAAGTGTTATGAGAATGTTTCCTTTTGGAGTAATATTCTCCCCTCTTAAATTTTTGAATTTTTCTTTTTTATTGTTGATTTTAATATTTTTTTTAAGAATTTTTCTTGAAAAATATTCATTGCAATTGCTTTTCTTTGTTCAGGAATCCATAATTTTTTACTATTAATAGTAAAACGTATAGATTCAATTTCTTCAATAAAAGGATGATATAATTGGAAAAAATTATTAACAATCATAAAATCTATACAGGTTTCAAGTTGGTATATAGTAGTTATTTTAAAGTAAAATGTTTTCCATTGGGATTTGTGGAATCTACTTATCTCAAATTTGTGGAATCTACTCATCTCAACATTTAATCATTTTAAAACTTTAGAAGCTTTTATTTCATATTTATCTGCAATTTTTGGATTTATTATTCTTTCAGATTGTACCCAAAATTGTTTTGGGATAATCCATTTACTTGTTGTACATACTAATGCTCCAGTATCTACAAAAGCATGAACTGTAAATTTTCTATATCCTTCAAAACTTAATTTTATAGGAAAATAGATTGAATTAGGATTTGTAATATTTTTATTACTCATCCTCAGATGTTTCCTCAGAATATTCATATTCACAGTCAGTAGTTAGGTAATACAAGGATTTTGTGTCACTAGAATCTTCTACTGGATAGAATCCTTGAGTTTGGAAAGTTTCAAGAAGTTTAATTATTTCTTCATTTCCAAGTCTTGCTAGGCATTCATTTACATAATGTCCAGATTCATTGCAGAGCCAACATCTGCAATTTTTTGTCTTTTGTGGATAAAATTTCTTTTTATCCAATTTTTTATATTTTCTCCCTTCTTTGGGAAATTTCTGTTTTTTAAAGATTTTTCTTTTCCTAAAAAACTTTTGTTTATATGGTTTTTTTATATCTTTTAAAGATATATTTCTTTTTCTTTTTAAAAGACTTTCTTTTATCTTTTTTAGATGGAAGACATCCATATTGTCCTGAGATTTTGTTAAGATATCTATCACAACATAATCTAGGATTACTGATTAAAGCTTGTCTGCTATCTCTAACTAAGATACTTTCTTTACATTTATCTGCAATAAGATTTCTAGTTAATGTAATTACTAGTCCTATTGAGTTTTCAACTTTAACATTTAGTTTTGGATCAATATGATTTTCTTGACTTGTAATTGCGTTGTTTAGTAATTCCATTACCTCATGGTTGAAAGGTTCAGGAAGTTTTTTATAAATTTTTCAGTTAGTTCTTCCCATTTTTCACTGGGACTAATGTAGAAATATTTTGAAAATTTACATGCATAATTTTCAAAATAACACATATCACATATAGAATTTGTTTCTAAATGATTCAATGCATCTGCAATTTCAACTGTTGTTCTTTCACTTTTAAAAACTTCATAAGTCAGTCCTGTAAACTGCTTATAGAGCTGTTCAGCAATTCTTTTAACAAAATTTGGAATATTGTAACCATCATCATTCCAAATAATATTTTTGACATTATCATCAAATCTTTCAAGGAAAGCTCTTACATTTCCCCTAGTGCTAGCAAGCACATAATTCCAAGAATTTGATTCATGTTTTATTATTTCTTTATTAACTATCATAGTAACCATTATATGGCTGTACCAAGCGTCAATAAGTTTTTCTGGTTCAAGTGTACAATCTAAATCTAAGATTGCTACTTGTTGATTTCCTTTTTTAGGTACAAATTCAGATTGCAACAAATTTGTACTAAAATCTTCATTGGTAGGAATTGGTCTAGGATTATGATCTCCTAATTTTCTTTTTCCATCACCTTTTGGGTTAGAACTAGAAGGTTCTGTATCTAGAGTTTCTGTCTTAGGTTCTCTTATAACAATTCCAGGTTCCCTTGTTGTATTAAACCTTTCATGAATTATGACTTCTTCTGAGTCACTATCTTCAAAATTTTCAACAATAGGTTTTGGTTCTGAATCTTTAGATTTTTCATCTTCTGATTCTATTGTCATAATTGTTTCTTGTTTTCCAATGTTAATACTTTTAACAATATTTTCAATTTTTTGAAGTTCAGAGTCTTCAAATGCAAGAAGTACATTTAAGAGTCCTAAGTTATTACTTGTTTCATAAATATTTTCAAGATTTTTTCTCAAATTTGCCATACCAACTTAAAAAGTTAACATCAAATTTTCCTTTTGGTGTTTCTGAATTTTCTTCAACATCTCCCATTTTTTCAAAAATTCCTAAAGAAGTTTTTTGGAATTTTCTTGGGTTCCAATTTTTCTTTTGTTTTTACTCCTGCAATAATCACTGTAGAATGTTTCTCCACAGATTTTTCTGTATTGTCTTGTAATATTTTCAGAAGTGTTTTCACTTCTTCAATACTATTCTTTAAATCTTTTATTTCTTTTAGAATGTCATTAATTGTCATTCTTCTTCTCTGAAGAGAGTTTTGGNCTATTAGCCAAGGACAATTGTCACAGCAACTTGATTAGTTTTCAAGATAAACCCGCAGAAGAGATCACTTTGGATTCCGTGCCAGTAGTACGTGAGTACAGTGATGTCTTCCCAGACGATCTACCCGGTACTCCGCCAGATAGCCAAGTGGAATTTTCCATTGATTTAGTACTAGGAGCTGCCCTAGTTTCTAAGGCTCCGTACCATATGGTGCCGAAGGAGTTGCAAGAATTGAAAGTGTAATTAAAAGAATTGCTCGAGAAGGGTTTCATCAGGCCAAGTGTATCTCCATGGGAAGCACCTGTTCTATTTGTGAAGAAGAAGGATAAAATCATGAGGCTGTGCATCGACTATCGAGAACTTAACAAGTGAAGATAAAGAATAAGTATCCCCTTCCCAAGATCGAAGACTTATTCTATTAGTTGAAAGGTACAGCAATCTTCTCGAAGATTGATTTGAGATCTAGGTACCATCAACTAAAGGTTTCGCCAGTTGACGTACCAAAGACAGAGTTCAGGATCCGATATGGACATTAT